CAGGCAGAGACCTCTCCACGGGTGAGGCATTCATGCCAAACTGCTTCTAGTTCTGGACTATCACTAGTGAGATCTGGACCACCTAGTCTGACTAGACAAGCTAGGGAGACTGAGATGGACTGTGTCTCCTCCTTAAGTCAAGAAATACTTGGGATGTTATATGGCTAACCCTGGAAAGACTATGTTCCATGTGACTGCAATCACTACTAACCTCTGTAGTTAATCATTTGATATAATTATATAGTTGTGTGATTGATTATATCTAAATTAACTGCAAGGATAGATGAATATATGAATACATAATACAATCAATGTGTGGTTAATAAGTTTAAGTCGTGGGATAAGTAAGGTAAAGCATCAACCTAAGGCCTACATGCTTTAGGTCAGTAAGAGATTTAGCTTGGCCATCGAAGGTCTCAGGCCTGGAAGAGGTTGACATGACAAGTTGGCTGAGGGATAACCCTGGGCCAGTAAGATTGTGAAATACAGTAATAGATGTATGAGTTTCTGATGTCCTGGGAAACAGGCCTCAATGTACCAGTTAATACCGCAAGATGACCTGTAGTAACTTTTCAAAGAATTCTGTAATAACCTCAATTTACCATAGTAACTCGTGTATGTTAATGAGAATAAGGAAAGCTGAAGAGGGAAGAGAAGACTGAGAGGGGACATAACAGTTTTCAAGTACATAAAAGGTTGTTACAAGGAGAAGGGAGACAAATGATTCTCCTTAACCTCTGAGGATAGGAAAAGCAGCAATGGGCTTAAATTGCAACAAGGGTGGTTTAGATTGGACATTAGGAAAAACTTCCTGTCAGGGTGGTTAAACACTGGAACAAATTGCCTAGGAAGGTTGTGGAATCTCCATCAATGGAGATTTTTAAGAGGTTGGACAAACACCTGCCAGGAATGGTCTAGATAATACTTAGTCCTGCCATGAGTGCAGGGGTCTGGACTAGATGACCTCTCGAGGTCCCTTCCATCCCTATGATTTTAAGTGAAGGGGATAACCTATGAGAAACAGTCCATGCCTAAGTTAATAAAGTGTGGAAGTACAAATAAGAAAAAGGGGTGATACTCTGATTCACAAGCATAGCGGGCGTAAGAGTAACAAGATAAAACGTGTAGCCCAGCCCGAGTGTGGAGGGAAGCACATCGGGGACACCCAAAAGGAAGGCCATCTGACGATCTTTTTACCCATCTCGATGTTTCCCTAGGGGATGAGAGTATGAAATCATTGATGCTGGACATCTCCTTGTTTCTCTCTATCTCTGTATATGTTTCAGTAGTTGGGGCATTGTTCATCTGCTTAATTAAATGGTCAATAAGAGGATGTTTGATAACCTGTGACCACATGTCATACACTCACAGTTCCTCATGGACTCCTAGAGTCTCTACACGTAATGGAATTCCTAAAGGTGATTCTCACTCTACTGATCCAGATACTGTAGGTGTTCAGGAGGCCGAACCCTTAGCACAAGTCACTGTGGTTTAAGATCCCCATTAGTACTACCAACCCAAACATACCAAATTAACCAGGCTACACCTCACTCACAGGGGTTCTGGGAAGTTTAATTAGTTAAGCCTGTAAAAAGTGCTTTGAGATCCTGATGTGAGAAGTATTATATACACACATGTCTATAAGACATTGATATCTAACTTTAATCTGATTAACTACTCATTGGTAGAAGGAAAACGTTTCATTTCACTAAGGATTTCAAGCTTTGGAAATCTGGCTTCATTCCACAAACCCCTCCTTCATAATCAAAATATTTCATTTCAATTTTTTGAAATTTAGAATTATAACACAAAATAAAGTTTTGAAAATGTCCTTTCAGAACAAAAAACTGAAATGTTTCCTTCCAAATATGTTGGAAACTGATTCAACATTGTCAAAACTTTTCCCTGGTTTTCTTCTGAAAAGAAATTCCAGTGAAATCCACCAGACTTCGCCAAAGGTTTAGATTTTGATGGAAACGCATATTCTGCTGGAATCTGCTTTGGTATTGGATAATTAGGAAGGTTTCTGTAATAAAGTCAAATGCACCATAGTCTAATGCTGTAAGTTTACTGTTAGCCATAAATCCATGACTGCTTAGACTTTTCATGACATAGGGTCCAATCCAGAGCCTCCTACTGGCTTCCTTACGCTCCCTAGCTGGCCTAGTCATTGAAAATGGGTTTTTGAGAGTGATCCAGAACTGGTGGATTTGGCACAAATGCCTCAAATCACATCTCCCTGTGCTTATAGCCTGTATCCCTTTCAATGGAGGACTCTCATTCCCATCCAACCTAGATATCACCCAGAAGGGTATTAACTGATTCCAGGGAAATAAAATGCACTGAAAGCCAAAAGCCAGCTGCTGACTTGGCTCTCTCTCAGGGAGTGTGACTGATTTCACGTTTCTTCTCTCCTAAAAGGTGACAGATTCCTGCCTGGAAATCTACCTTCTTATGGAATTATTTTAAAAAAATATTTATAGGATTTTAACTAGATCTTGAAGAAGGAATAAATATAAACCACAGCAGAGGATATGCCACGAATCCAGCAAACAATGCTCAAGGATCAAAAATAACCCTAAGAGAAGAGGAAGCCACCCAAATGAGAAGTAAATATTTTTTTGTTATTCTTCATATGCTTTAAAAAAAACCCAACAAAACACAACAGTTTAGTCTAGACGAAACATAAACCGTAACATTACCTTACTCTGTACTACCTCTTCCAGTAATGCATGGGAAATTTGTACCAAACATTGATACTGCCAAAAACATTCAAGCAAAACCATACATTTCCAAATAAGTCTCAAGAAAGAGAAATCAAGCCACTCATTAAGAAGACCACCATCCTGACACCAATCGAAATCCAATGCAGTTCACAGGGTTTTGAAGTTCTGGGAGTAGCTGCTATAAAACCTGGTAAAAAAGGAAAATTATTGTGCGTGGCAGTTTGTAAAGTTTCCAGTGCACAGTAAAGCGGCAAGATCACTGGTGTGAGATTCCTCTTCCAGGCCTGGTGAAACAGCCACCATCCATGCTGCAGAACAGTTTGCCTTATCCCACTCAATTTTTATCTCCCCGATTTGAATTAGAATATTCTTGAAAAAAAAGAGGTGAAAACAGTAGCTCCCTATCCTCATGAGTTCTTCATTAGTGCTTCTTTGTTCAGAATCATTAGTGTACTGAGGAGAGGTTGTCATCCCTAGAAAACAAGGTACTCAGCCTTCCAAAAGTTACTCACCTTATCAGCTTCACTTTACAAAGAGTGACATGGCTTTGGGAAGTCGTTACTAAAGATAGTGACCCTGGGAGCATATCTGATACCTCAGTAAAAGGCTTAAATGTGCAGGGTGCTGAGAACTGCTAGCTCCCGTTGATGTTAACAGGATCTGAAAAAGCTCAGAACCTTGCATCACCAGGATCAGGTGCTAAAATGAATATCCCCATAAAGTCCAACAGTCATCTCCTCCACATTAGTATTAGTTCTAGGTCCATTTGTAAAAACCCACTAGCCTCTGTCAACTCAATACCCACCTGAGGACTCCGTTCCAAGGCCTGGCTCAACATTTGATTAGCAAATGTACAGGTCTCATTCCCTTCCATTCTGGCAGGTCAGTTCAGAACCTTTGCATTTTCACTTTTAATACTGCTTTCCAAGGATCCTCACATTTAAAATGCAGAGGCATGTTATCTTTCATCACCATATTCACCACAGTGTGCAGGGCATCAACCTTGGTTGTAAGTGTTTGGAATTGATCTGCTGGTTTCCAATTCCAGTGTGCAGATTCCCAAATTGTTGGTCCACAGAGACTAATTTGCTACCGAGATAATCCATTTGTTGCTGCAGGTTTTCAAATCAAGCCTCCAATTTTGGAGCCATAGACTGTGAATATCGTAGGACTTTTCCCATGATTATTAGTTACATCAATTTCAGAAGCTTCTTTGCATTGAGGGGCTGATGATAACATAGCCTCAAGGGGTGAGGAAGGGGCCATCTCTGGAGTCTCCTGGATCAGCTAATTGGAAATTAAAGTCAAGGAAGGAATTCCCTGGTCTCTCAGCCTAGGCAGCTTTTAAGCTTATGCCATTTAGGAGGCATATTTAAATATCAAGAAGGGAACATCACATAACCATGAATAATCTCAAGACAAAAGTCCTCTCTCAGTTCATGTTATGTACTGCTCCAAACTACACCTCTTAAAAGAGCAAAACACCAAGAAACCATCACTGCCAATAACAGACCAGCCAGACCCACCTGCTAGCCTGCCTGCCTTTGAAAGAAGATTGAGCTGCCAACAGCCACAAGAAAACCAACTCCTGCCTCAGTGTGGGCAGTTCCCAAACCAGAGAGGTCACTGGGCAGCTGGAGACTGGATCAAAGTTGCATCAAAGGTCCTATATAAATATTAAGGGCAGGATTTACCAATATGTTCTGGCTGCTTTGTGCTGCTACAGTGACAGAAGCCAACCATAAACTCACCTTACCCAGCCAGGTAAGCCAAATTTACAGCTGCTCTGTGTGACCAGAGTGGTGCAAAAGTTGGAGCTCATTAGTGAATTTGTCCCAATGTGAGGTATTTATTTGTATGACAGTAGTGTGTAAAGGGCCCCATTATACTGGAACCCTTCTCCCCCCCACTCCACTCCCCAAACACAGTAAGAGACAGGCACTGCCCCAAAGAGCTCGCAGTCTAAATAGGCAAGATTAAGGGTGGGAGGAGAAGAAAGGCACAGAAAGGGGAAGTGACTTACCCAGGGTCATGCAGCAGGTCACTGGCTGAGCTGGGATAAGAACTCTCCTGATTCCCAGTCCCATCCTAGACTGTGCTCCATCTCTCAGAGCTGTATCAGCACCTGGCTAGAATCCTGCCATTCACCCCAACTTGCTCTCACTCTGCTAGGGTGAAGAGAGGCCGGTTTCTAGTTGTTTCTAATCCTAGTGCTGGCATCTCGGTTGCTGTGTTCTCAGTTTGTCAGCCTCAGAAAATACACGCTGCACATGCTGATCAAATACCCTTTTATTTTGTTCTTCAATTCCCCTGGGCCCACAAGTTTAAAAACTGTCCACTTTTGGAAGAGGCATTGATTAAAAATACTTCTTAACAATACAGCTATTTCCATTTGCTACAATTATTCTCATTTTAATTTAAAGCAATAGCTCCTTCATATGAAATTTCTGTCTCTTATAAAGAAACAAGGGCAGAGCAGAGAATTAAACAAATATCACTGTCAATTCACTTACAGCATCCAGAATTCTGCATGCAGATGTGTGCAAAATCTGTGTATTCACTCGTCATAACAGCACATGCAAGTGATTAATTAGATCAATTAGACATCTAAACGGCTATTTTTGTGCACAACTACTGCAAATAAATGTGCACATGCAGACATTTTCCACACACCCTTTTGAAAAAACTGGCTCTAAATGCTGCACTTCTCAGCATTTATCAGTTTGGCATGATTGTTTCCAAATCACATCACAGACCCCAGAGATATGTTATAAATTCAATATCTTAGAAATATTATAATGAACACTTAAGGCTGTTTGTAAAACCTAATCAGTTCAGTACTCTTGATATCTGTGTAATCATAACAAGGCATCATGGGATCCCCAGGTTGTTACATTTCTCTTACTGTGCCCCCATTAAGGGGCCCTGGCTGGGTGCACTGCCATTTTGCTTTACAAGCTTGTGCATCAGTTTTATTTATTTTTGCACATTCTCTAAGTTGGTTTCTCTCCCCTCCCCCCCCCTTTTTTTTCCAGACCATAATACAACACTATGATGCTTAGAGAACCAGAAAGACAGGAGGGAAAATGTCAATATTATATGCTCCTCTGGAATGTTTCAGTTGATGCAACCCACCTGGAGTTAGCAAAGTCTAAAGTTAGTAAAGGAACAGTCAGATATACTAAGGATGATGGCTTGTGGTGTCTGACTGTTCCTTTGTTTCTGATCACAGAGATCAGGAGTGTGGGAGTGTTATCTCAAGCAACTGACTTGTCAGAGTGATGAAAATCAGGGCTACATGTAACTGATCAAATACTGAGGAAGTGATGGGCCTGTATCAGCAGGGAAAAAGAGAGTATAGAGAGTGAAAAAGCAGTTCTTCGAGACAGATGATAAGCTGGGAAAGAAAGAAAAAGGGGGAGGAAGGTAAGGAATACATGGGATAAGAGGCACCCAGATCCTACTGTGACAAGCATGGTATAAATGCTTAGAATGAGCAATAACTTAGTGTGTTTGGGCTGGAGCTCAAAGAACAAGCACTGACCCCTGTTTATATGGTGCCTTTCGTCCACAGATCTCATAGCGTTACATTCATAATGATTACATTTTAGGTTGACAGTGATTTTCAGAGCATCATAATGAAGGAATCCAACATCTTCTGATCTCCATGCCTGTTGATAGTGTAGAGTATTAAACGTGGATAGTAAAGCTCTGAGCATTTCTGGGTGACAGGCCCCAGCGGCAGTCAAGCTCAGAGAGGAGAGAGATCTGAAACGGGGGTGCCGGTTTTGTAATGATTCCTTTGGCTACACTCAGGATCTAATCCATCATCTCTGGTCATCCAGCGTATCACTCAAAATGGGCCATTTGGACCAGCCATACTGTGATGACATACATAAAATATGTTAGGACTCAACCAGAGATGCCTTGAGATCTTTGATGGATAGCAAGGAACACTCTAACCCACAAGGTAAATACGACGAAGAACAGCAGAAAAATCACGCCAACAGACGAGCAGATCTGAGAGATACTAAGAGGGCTCTGCTAGAGGGTGATAATTCCTGGTTATAATTCCTGACACCAAGGGCGCCAAGGCCAACTCCAGTGTCCCTTCTTGACAATCCTATATCTGTGGGTCTGTCCAGCCTCTGTGAAGGGGTTTAGAGGAGGTAAGTACTTTGGGGAACAGACGGATTGGGTTATTTAGGCTTGGAGGCAGGGGAAGAGCTTGTGTGGGCAAAAGGTGTAGAGCCAGGGTCGCAAAGGGTGGCATAATGGTTGGCACTGAAGCTGGTTGTCTCCGTTTATCTGGAGTTGTGGGGTTTGGTGGGGGGAGGAGTGGAAGAGCTGTGCAGCAGCGTGGGGTATCTTGATTGTTTCCGTCCTGAAGCAACTCACCTCTGCATCAAGACAAATGGGTGCTCTGGAGCGACAGAGGTGGGGTCTTCAGTGGCCCAGACAAGCTGCACAGGACTTTTCTTTGTGCAGCAGAAAGCCACTAGCACTAGCGAGGCGCATGAGTACCAGATACAGAGCCAGGGGAAGAGCCTTCCATGTGCAATTCTGCTGGGGATTCACATTTCCTGAGAACTACACTTACAGGAATGCTGGCCCCAGGATGCTGAGTGCAGTGCTTGGACAGTTTGCACCGGGAGAAGAATTCCCCATAGAGCATAAACTGGGAACAGTGCCAAGACTAAAGATCCTGATGCAAATGGGCCTTTCTGAGCCTCCAGCTGGCTGTGCCCATATGACTGAAAAGTGACTTCCTTTGGCAGGCTGGAAGTATGACCAAATCCATATCTGAACCCAGATTTTCTGAAGTGAATGGATCATGAACTAAGCCCCGGCGGGCCATCCCTGGGTCCCAAAGGAACTCCCTGTAATACTGTAGGAAAATTTAGCACTTACATCACACTTTTCATCTTCGAAGTGCATTACAAATATTACCTAGCTCATGCTCACCACAGCTGTGTTTGCAGATTCATGCTTGAGAAATACAGGGCATTCTCCCACCTGGAAGCTGCTGGTTAATATTGGGCTATTGAAGGGAATGTTTACAGCAGGGAGACACAGAGCCCGTTGGTGTTGTTTGTCGTGTGATAGCACGTAAGTTGCCCAACCAAGGATCAGGGACCAATGTGCTAGGTGCTGCGTACACACACTAAAAAGATAAAAGGGAAATAAAGCCATGCCTCAAAGAGCTTACAATATAAGTACAATTTTAAAAAACAGTTACTGAAAATTACTGCAGCTAGCTACAAACATTATTCCTATGTGACTAGAAAGTAAAACAAAGCAAATCTGGCATATTCTGTCTGGAGGGTATGAAAGTTCTTGGCAACCTTCTTCTTGGACCTTCCCTTGAGGCCACTTTTGGCCACTTAAATGAAGAGTTATCCACGAGAACAGCCTGAGTGGGAAAGGAGCAAGTTGACTGGACAGCCATGTCATTCCTGAGGGAATGAGAGAGTTGTGATTGGCTGAAAATCTTCTCTAGTTATATCTTTTAAAAATTATATTCATTACTGAAAATTTACCCTGTATTGCAGCAACATCTCATTTGACCCATTAAGAGAGACACTGAATTAAACAAAAGCTAATTGCTATAACCCTGAGAAGTAATGCTGTAACCATGGTCCTTTCTGAAGAGTATGTGATGTTATCTTACATCACTCCCTTCCATGACGTAAACACAAGTGTCCATGTGCATTGTGAACCATGACCTCAGCTGCTTACGGCTTTCGAGCAGACCCTGCGTGTTGGAATATTAATGCGGCCAAAAGCATTTCTTTGGATTGGACTTGGGAGGTTCCAAACACTTTCCTAGCTTCTCACAGCCTGGAGGAGCCCAATTCTGTTAAAAAAGAAAGAAACAAACAAACATATAAAATCAGCCTTGTGGAATTAAACTGTCAAGATCTGGAAGAGGAGCTGGACAATGAGCCCTGAGCCACAACAGACCCATTTACATTTTTAGTACACAAAACCACTCTGATATTCTCATTGAAAAAGGAACCTTCACACGTGACTGAAGCTAGCAGGGTCCGTCTATCTACACCTTTGGAATTTCATCCCTACAGTCCTCAGGCAAGCCCACAAATCCCTTTTCAGCAGATGGTTATGAAACTGCCTTCCACATTTTCAGTAACAGACACCTGCATTAGCCTCCCCTCTGAGATCTGCAGTCTGTTGTGGTGACCCCTCTCTCCAGTAACATGATGAGGGAGCAAATCTACATGTTTGGTGAAACCCCTTAAATTGCCCCTGATCCCGAAAGAGGCTGTAATTATTAGCAGTAAGGTATTTTGTAAAATTTCTTAAGGAACCAAGTACAAGACAGCAGCCTCTGAAGGCTGAGGGTGAAAGAGAGAAGAATATTTGCATTTTAATGAGCATTTTGGGGGATTAGCCTATGAATTGATGGATTAGGAAACGCTTAGATAATGACCACGCCAAAGCATGTGAACCAAGGCTATTTGCCTCCCTTGTTTTCTTGCTTCTTGAATGATCTTGTCCCAGTGTGCAGGCGGCAGAGGATAAACATGGTCAGTGAGGAAACCCAGCAGACCCATGGGCGAGTGGGAGTGTGAGTATTTAAATGATGAAAAACAAAATGAAATGTGGGATTGCAGTAAAATGAATGAAAAGTTACAATTCCTGTTCTGTCTCCAGAAATCCTCTGCTTTCCCTCTTATGAAACAGTAGCCTGGTAAATGCTGATCTCTCTTTCCTCTCTCTCAGTACCCATACATCCATGGGAAACTCTTCTTGTCAGTTATTAAAGGTCAAGTCTGCTCTGACCTACTGTCATATAGATAGATATATATATAATTTATTTAATCTAGTCATTTGCATTAGTTTAGTATCAGATTCCTTCAGGGAAAAGATTAATGCTACAAAAAACGCTGGAGCAGGTTTACATTCCACGTAACTAACAGCAGATGGCAGTGACGTGCCAGCAACCTCTGCAGGCTGCGAACAGGAAGGCAGAGAGATTTCATACGAGCCCGTCTCCTGAAACGAAGGGCTCCAGACAATTTAAGAACAATTAATTCTGTTTTCTAAATATGTTTCTCACTTTCAAAATACATAAGAACATGGGAAACCCACTGGAAATGTCACAGGCTAAACATTCTGCTGAAGCAATAAAGATCCAAACAAACAAAGGGAATTTTCATCCTTTTGAAAACCTGGATTACATCTGCTTTAGACTCAAAGATTTAAATCCATTCAGCTTTCATAGATCCATTCTTTAAACACCACGTCCTGAGATCCCTTCATGTGCCAAGTCCCACCTCCAACAAACCTGGAGTGAGTCCAGGCATAGGGGCAGTTTCTCCAAACCAGCACATTGAGAGAGCAGCGCGACAGGAGTTCCCTGTGCACTAGTGACGGGGAGCACAAGAGAGTGGAGGATTTGCCACATCAGTGGTGCAGAGGTGCTGAAGTTGCAGTTCCTATTCCTGTCCTGAGACTGGAGTAACAGCTACGAAGTGGTTGACCGGCTTTATTCCATAGCCAAACAGGAAAGATTCCTCTTCCCAGTCCCCCAAGGGCTCTTCAGTGCACAACCCAAGTAAATGGGCTTGGCACTAAGAACAGATATGGGGACCCACCAGTAGATACATGCAGAAATTAAGAGAACCTTTCAATCCATTTATCAAAGCAGGCAATATAATACCATTGTTGAGTGATGACAGTTATTAAAGCAAACGTGAACGCAGCACAGGAGGACTGATTCAATTGCTTCCCCCTGCACAACATCCAAGAAATGAAAACCCTAGAAATTAGAGATGGTAAAAACTTACAAGGGGACACTATCCATCTCTCTACTAATGCAAGACTGTTCCCTATGTTATATACTGTAGCCGTTGGAATTTGCCCTGGAAGATTATTTCATGGTCAGGAGGATTTTTCCTGCTATTCAACCTACAACGTTTTCTGTTTTTTCAGTTTCATCCCAGTATCCTCGACACACATCTTGGACTACACTAAATACTTCTCCCTCTTTGGGGTTTACAGGCTTCAGATCTTGCACACTGCTCTGTGCCCTTCTCAATGTCCCAAATCACCAAGTTCAGAAGGAGCTCAGTAGACATCAGGGACTTTTCGACTGAAATGCCACAGCACAGCTATCAAACATGCAGTTTCAAATACCACCTGAACAGAAAATCAGCACTCCTCTCCATTTGCTGTGTTTAAGATCATGAAGACTTTGGAAAAACAGTTGTGGGAGGGCTTGGGGAGATGGACCCAAGATACCCAAACCCACGGAGAACTACGAGAGCCCAGGTGCCGATACCATTGCTCACAATGCAGCTGGATTTCTGCGATGTGTACAGGGGATTAGGATGGAGGCGAAGGCGCCAGAGCAGTGGATACTGTGCTATCTATAAGGAAGGAAGTCACAGAGTTTATCACAGTGTGCTGGTTGACTATCCAGGCCTAAGGCTGCTCACTTTGTACTACGGCATTCCACAGATAACCAATGGCTGTATCTTCAATGCAGTAGCCAGATAGCCCTTCGAAAGGCCTGAATGACTTTTCTTCTCTAGCCCGCCTCAGTGTTAGCTGAGACTTTTAAGCTTTACAAAATACATTATAAGACAAGGATGCTCAAATTGATTTATGTTTTAATCCCTTACCATGACGGCCTTGTCACACATGTTTAGCTGTGGCTCCCCTGGCACCATGGTCTTCTTGTGCAGCTGAACTTGGGGGAATATTTGTTCCATAACTTCCTGATACTCAGAGCTGGAAAAACTAGAACAATATGAAAAGCAACAGGAGTTATTAGTTAGACACTACCCTGGTGTCTGGTTTGATGTACGGTATGTTTAGGGGACATGAGTTTGTACAGCGCATGGGACTTAGGGCAATTGCTAAAATCCATTGGGAAACTGATGCCTGGTACGGATGCTCTGGGACGGTGCCTAGAGCACTATACGAACACTGGTAACACATTGAAATAAGTAAATGAGTAAGTTGGGTAGGATTTCCAGAAGCATTGGAGGGCGCAGGATGTTGAACTTCCATTGAATTTCAAATCGGAATTGGGGGCCTTGGTGGTTTGGAACACCCCACCCACTTTCCCTTTGCAGTACTTTGCGACTTTGTTGCGCTCCGACCCAAGGATTTTGTATTTTATTTACCAACATTGACTAATTCAGTCTCACAATCCCCCAGTGAGGTGGGCAAATATCATGAACCCCACTCCGCAAATGGGGAAACCCAAGAGAGAACTCACGGAACAGAGACAGAACCCAGAGTTCCCAACTCCCCAGCCCATGTTTAAACCACAAGAATGTTCTCAGCAACGTTATTGTTGCTGGCTGGCACCAACCGGTCACATTCATACACAGGACACTAGTCGAGCTTCTCCCATTGACCTTAATGGGGAGTTGGCCGCCTAAAGCCCGCATGCAAAGAACTGTGAACCTATCTCCTGTTAATCAGAATGATTACTTCAGTAGGTATTGTTTAAGTGGTTTACACTCTATTTCACTGTGGCAATACTTCAAATACTTCTAAAATGGAGGATAATACCCAATGATCTTATTTTGCCCATATTAAGAGTCACTTAAGAAACAGAGAATGGCAAATTGCTTCTGGAGATAAAAGGGAAACAATGGAACGTGGCCCTGACCCCCGGCTCTCTTTGCTAACAGCCGGAGCTGGCCACCAGCCCCACACTCCAGCTAATTTCCTTCTCTGAAAAACAATCGTATTTTGAAGCCCAGCAATGTGCCAACTGTTTCCAGTAAACCCTATAAATATCACATCTCCTCGGCAGCCTTCCAGAGAGAAGCTGAGTGTGGGGATGGGTCTGAGCTATGCTGATAGAGAACGAAAGGGAATTGGGAATGACAAGCTCAAGCAAGCTAATCTGTCTCTCTCACACCTAGCTAGCTGTATCCTGGATTAGAGAACAAATGTAGAGACTATCACCAGGTCCAGCTGTATGATTTGGTTGGACCACCAGGAGAGATTATTCTTGTGAAGTTCCCATTCCATCACACTCTATCTCCTTTTTTCTCCAATTGCAGAAGATTCTACAGTTCTATCTTACACCTGAGGCTATTCTGAAAACTGGGGGTCGACCAAACGTTTTGCCAGTCCCAAAGACTATCTCTGGCTACCACTCTTGATAGGAGCATTCAAAGCAGCAGCCACATGGCCAGTGAGTTGAGACAGCATTGCACCCGAATGGCACAATGGCCACATTGTATCTGGAGGTTCTCTGGTCACATTCAACACACAGGACTTCCAGGATGACCATTTGTTAAAAAAAGTTATTCAGCGGAGGTTGTTAGGCCTTAAAAGCTAATCTATGTTGACATACAGGAAGAGACCACAAAGAAGAGCCGGTGCGCTGGCAGGAGACACCACAAAGGGAAGCTCACAAAGGCTGTGGATGTAGTAAGAGAGGAGATGTACAATGACTTACCCAATAAATTGGGCACTGGAGCCTATTGAAATTGGATAGTTCTTTAAAGGAGGAAATGAAACTATGCTGCAAAATTGAAAAGAGAGAACGCATCTCAAGCCTAAATGCTACTGTGATTGGCAGATCAGAAACCAAGATAGCTTGTGTACTTCACATGAAAATACATTCGAATAGCAATAGTGCTTTGTCCTTCTATTGCACCTTTCATCTATTGACCTCAAAGTGCTTTGAAAACCTTATTTGATCACACTTTGTAGTAAGGTGCCATTTATAAAAGGGTTAATAAATGGTTAATTAATTGTTAGAGTCCAACGGATCAATAGGTTGCTCAAAACCACCAGACTTTTTACTGATGTGGTTATAATGATCTAAACACACATACTACTTATGTCTGTAACACATTTAACCCCTATTCAGCATTTATTAACCTTTTATAAACAATTTATAAATGGAACTTTAAGCTTCACATCTTCTTTGTAAAATATCTAAGGGTTATATGCTTCACCCACCAAAAGTGCTTTTGGTACACAGGGTTCAAAATTAGCTGGAAAACCGAGATGTGGCCTGGCTGACAGGTAACAATGTGTTGCTGTGATTTTGCTGCTTTTTGCTCCATACATGTCAAGGCGGTAGATGGTGAAACCCTCCTTTTCATCATAATCACAGCCACTGGGTTTGCCCACAGCTCTACGTCTCACCAGCCATCTGTTATCCGTGTGCATGGTGCCGAATAGAATCGAGAAGGCTAGTGTCATTTACAGCATCTCCTTGCTCTAATCTGCATATGCAGGACATTGTTTGTGTGTTCCTCACTAGTTCAGTTACCAGAAGAAATCTAGGCCCAACATCAGTTCCTGTGAACCCATTCCAGTTTCCTCGACTGATCTGAACAGAAACACCCCGATCCTTTTATCTACCTATCTTGGGGTATTCAAACCATCCATCACTGTAGTACCTCAACAGTTAGATCCTTTCAGTATTTGGCACAGACTGAACAATTTCCAGAAGCATGGTCTGTTTGAAGCAGCCTAGCTCAGAAAATAGTTTCACATCTGTAAAGCAAGTGCAGTCTAAAACTTCAGGGCCATGTCTAGGCTGTGTTTGAAAACATATGACCTAAAAGGTATTAGTGAATACAAGCTAAGTACTGTATAGACATATTCTTAAAAGTTACACTGAGCCTACACAAGTGTTTTAAAACATGCTGAATTGTGACAGCCTTACTCACCTGAAGTACTCTAAGTCTGACTTCAGTGGGACTCCTCAGGGTGTACAGGCCAGAGTACTAGTCAATGTAAGGTTCTCTCAGTCTGGCCCTAAAATGTGTTAGCTATAACATGTTTTTAAAACACAACCCCTGTTTCTCATCTAGTCCCGTTCCAAGTGTGTGGGGGTATACCGGGGCAGTGCACTGGCCATGTGACTACTGTTCACTTTAAACTGGAGTCATGCCGTGAAATCATCATTCGCTCCTTTGTGGTTGTTATTTGAGTGCCAGTGTGGCTGGCCCAAAAAACAGAGGAAGACGGAGTCTCTGCCCCACCGAGTTCACAACTTACTCAGACCCGCAGGCTGATCTGCTCATATCTACAATATGCTGGCTGAGGATCCCACGCTCACGTGCTGTGCTTTCACAGAGCAGTATTTGGTGACTGTATTTAGTGGGTTTTCATTGCCCACAGCCTCATGGCAGAAGCATGTTTGGAGAAGGCGTTTGTAATAGGAGTGTGAGTTTGATTAGTGCGAGTTTGATTAGGGGCTTGATCCTGCATTCCCACTGAAGACAATGGGTGACTCGTAAGAGTAAGAGAGGTTCCTAGCTATGTACCTCTTACTCTTACGAGTCACCCCACTGTCTTCAATGGGAATGCAGGATCAGGCCCCAAGTGCAGAGTCTGCAGCATTTTCTATAAAAATGATATTTTCAAGCCAGGTGTTTGAATGTTACCATCTGAGTGAAGGTTCAGACCTCTCTGCCTCCAGGGCACACTGGATTTGTATTCTAGCTCAACAATCCTGCTGAAGGGAAGAGCTGGGAATAGCAGTGAAAGAAGAGAGAACGTGAGCAAGGGTTGAGCAGGTGTTGTTGAGAGGAGTTTGCTAAAAGAGATCCCCCTGTGTACATGAAGTTATTCCATGCTCAGAATGAAAGAACAGAGTGGACAAAGTCCAGGGTCATTACACTAATTGACACTTTACCTCTGGGAAGTCTCTGGAGAGCCAATCAGGGCTGGATTGCAAGCACTAGGTCCCAGACACAGGTGTGGCCTGTGCTTAGTTCATTTAGAGTAATTGTGCTTTGGCAATCTGTTCTCGTCTCCTCCCTCTCCAAACAAATCCACACATAAACTGCTCTGCTGTTAACCCCCCTCTTCCATGCCCTACTGTGAAATTAACATTTGTAGGAAGGGATGGAGAGGTCTTTAATGTAGTACTTTGATTAACAGAGTATCATTTTAATCTTAGAATCCTCACAGTCCTTCACCTTCAGGTTTGCTACTAATTTTGAATTCTATTAGAAGTTATGAGACAATTTCTTTATCTTTCTCATCACACATAAACCCGTAATACACAGTATACCCAAATCAGGGAGAACATTTCTAGCTAGAAGAAAAGGAGGACTTGTGGCACCTTAGAGACTAACCAATTTATTTGAGCATAAGCTTTCGTGAGCTACAGCTCACTTCATCGGATGCATTGGTTAGTCTCTAAGGTGCCACAAGTCCTCCTTTTCTTTTTTGCGAATACAGACTAACATGGCTGTTACTCTGAAACATTTCTAGCTAGCTTAGTTTTTGAGCTAGATCTTGGTTTTTAAATTATACCTATTCCATGTGATTAATATACAAGCAGACTCCAATACCTCTATCCTGGGGACCATAGGATTACCTTATTATTGAGAGAAATGGTCCCAAATGGTCATACTATAACAAGTATCAGTGGGGTAGCTGTGTTAAGTCTGTATCCACAAAAACAACGAGGAGTCTGGTGGCACCTTAAAGATTTCATGGGTCAAAAACCCACTTCTTCAGATGCATCTGAAGAAGTGGGTTTTTTACCCACGAAAGCTTATGCCCAATAAATCTGTTGGTCTTTCAGGTGCCACCGGACTCCTCGTGATAATATAACAAGCTTCACAGAAGTCTGACACCAAGCTATTTAATACTAGTGCTCAGATTTACAGTGTATTTTACCAGACGTATGTGAAGGTAGTGGAAGAACATAATATCTGGTTAATAAAGTGGCTTCTGTATTTTACTTCTTTCTCTACAGGAATTGGTCTAACAAAAATCCCTTTTTGTTTCTAATTATTAAA